CCCTGTCAAAGTAAACCAGATTGCCAGTAAAGGCAAGTCAAAGTGATGATGTTACCCTCTGTCACCAGGGGTATCTTTTCAGGTAATAGGATCCCATCTATACTGTTAGACAGGGCATTAGAACTCCTCCAACTGTAGCCTGTTGGGCTCTGACCTCCCCTGACCCATGCTTTAGATTTAGATTACCCTGTCTGTCTCGGAAAAAAAGAAAAAGAAAAAGAAAGTAAGAGCTGATGTCCTTAGACCCCTGCCATCTGAGCCTCCTCCGCCCCCCACTTCCCCCAGAGTCCCCCACTCAGGCCAAGCACTACAGCTCCACTGTGTGGACAGAGGCACCAGGCAATGACCGCAGTCTCTGGGTTTGCATGGGTAAGCCGTCACCTGTGAGGGATAACCAGTTTTAAAGACTGGTCTTTCTTCTTTCACAAGGTCAGGACTATGCCTGTATGTGGTAGTCTCTGCAACCACCCTGGCCCCAGAGTGTCAGTCTGTGAGAGGCAAGAAGGAAGTCCGGTTCAATACGACTTGGTAGTCAGTGTTGGTTCAAACTTCCAGAGTCTGACACTGAGCAGTTTGTTTTAGGCACAATTTGAAAAAAAAAATTCTTGATATAATATAATCCTGAGCACACAATAAAGCTTAAGGCATGACTACATTAAAACTCTTTGTAAAAGTACATGTGACATCTTCCATAAAGATGGGTTCTATAGACTGATTATATGTGACATCTTAAAGATCTGGTGTGATCTCAGTCATACAGATAACACAAAGGTCACCAGGCTATTAACCACTCTGCTCCCAGCCTTCTGGGCTGAAAACAGGTTATATATCTCTCCCTTTGAAGAGACAACCCTGCATGGTTAACATTCCTGGTTTCCCTAGTGCTTCTCTGGGAGCACAAGAACCTCTGTGCCTCTTACACCTGTAACATCTACCTCAACTTCTTCAAGGCTCAGGGAACGTGGTGGAAGGAAGTGCAGAAGGAATTGAAGAGCCACGGGAAGGGATGGAACATGATGGATGGAACAGATGTCTTCCAGACATGACATGGCCACTGAGCCCATGAAATGAACTCACAATAAGAGTTATCTGCAAAGACCTCACAAGAAGGAGCCTGTCACGATTCTGTTGTGGGTGGGAAGGGTTCACAAAGCCCGATGCCTCTCTGAAGATTTATAGGCAGTTGGTGATGGCTGGAGGAGAAAAGGATCGTTTTCTCCATTGGTGCAGCTGTCAAATGTCCATGCTGTAAACACATCACCCAGGCTCCGGTAAGCAAGCCTAGTTAAACCCAGTGGGCCTCCCTCCTCCCTCTCTCTCTCTGTCTCTCTCTGTCTGTCTCTCTCTCTCTCCCTCTCTCTCCTTCTCTCTCTCTCTCTCATACACACATGGGGGGGGCAGTAGAAGGCACTAGTTTGGGAGAAGAAAGGTATCAGCCAGAATGAGAGGGAGACCAAGGAATAATGAGATGAACATGATCAAAATATACGTATGTATAAAATGGCATAATGAAACCCATTGTTATATGTAATTTATATACACTAACAAGAGGTTTTTTTTTTTAATGTGCCCATAGAAATAGCAGCACTGGGGCTGGAGAGATGGCTCAGGGGTTAAGAGCACTGGCTGCTCTTCCAGAGGTCCTGAGTTCAATTCCCAGCAACCATATGGTGGCTCACAATCATCTATAATGAGGTCTGGTGACCTCTTCTGGCATGCAGACAGAACACTGTATACAAAAAAATAGATAAAATATTTTTAAAAAAGAAATAGCATCACTAGCTTCACTTGAAAGCACAAGTGAGTGTTTTTAACTTAAGCTAATATTTCTAACTAGCTCTTATAACTTAAATTAACCCAAACTTCTTATCTAAGTTCCACCACATGGCTTAGTACCTATCTTTAACATGGAATGTTCATCTTGCTTCTCCCTGGATCTCCTGGAGACTCCACTCTCCTTCATCCACAGAGAGCTCTCTCTCTGTCCACAAGCCCCACCTAACCTCTTCCTGTCTTGCTATTGGCCATTTAGCTCTTTATTAAACCAATGAGAGCAACAGATCTTCACAGTGTGCAGAGAGATGGTTCCATACCAAAATGGGCTGCCACATGAACCCAGATAATGTGGGGATGAAACCAGGAGGTATCAACTCTGAAATGAGGATCCTTATAGAAATGGAGATGGAGATGATCTAATAAAATTTAATAAGATGATTTAATAAACATGTCTCTTGTCCCATGTCTAGATTAAAGCATTTAGTGGGGGCTGCTATGAACTAAGAGTGACCTAAGCCTCTGGTAAGGCAGGTCAGATCCCGAAGGACAGGTGGCTGGAAAGACTTTCCGACAAAGGCCGGAGTCTTCACCATATGTTACAACTCTCTGTCAATTATCATCATGATGGCTGGTGGGCTGCGTGGACTCCATCATGAGACAGCTAACAGGAAAGGCAGCCTCCCTCACAGCATCCCACGCTGTTCTGAGGGAGGGAGGCTGATAGTCAACAGGGTTCTGGTGTAGCAAGCTTGGCTCCAGGCTCTCAGGACACACGAAACATCAGATGGCGGTGCATGTGTGGTTGGTGCTGTGTTCCACTGGCATTGTTAGCTTCCTTTGGCTCCGAATTCATGTGCCCATGAAGCTATAAGCTCCATGAACACAGGAGACTGTATATGTCACTCACCAGTGACTCATCAGTGCCTGGTACATAGCAGGGCAGTAATTATGTGTTGCCTGCTCCATTGAGGAAGAAAGGCTCATTAAATGAGCCACATCTCATACCTGAACACAGAATCACCTGAGTTCCAGGTCCCACACACCAGAGTTGGAATCAGAATCTCAATTTCTAACAAATTCCAATGTAAGGCTGGTTTTGTTGATCGGGAGTCATTATATGGGCAACAATTTGGATAGAGAAAGAGGCTCCTGAATGATGTACCATCTGTGCTGCTCACTTAGTGTAACTCAGATCCTCGGAGCGGAATTCTCTCGTCCTAAGGCTCAACTCTTACAAATAAAGAGCTCAAAGTGCAAACCCAAGAAAAGTCAGTGTCAGGATGTACCTTGTTCTTTTTTTTTTAGATTCATTTATTTATTATGTATACAGTGTTCTGCCTGCATCCCAGAAGAGAGCCCCAGATCTCATTATACATGGTTGTGAGCCACCATGTGGTTGCTGGGAATTGAACTCAGGACCTCTGGAAGAGCAGCCAGTGCTCTTAACCTCTGAGTTATCTCTCCAGTCCCATATACCTTGTTTATGTTTATCCCTAATTATGTTTATCTCTAAGATATATGCATGTGTGGTTTGCCATAGAAGAACTAAATGCAACCCTTTAAAGTATCTTGTCTCTTTTTTGGGGGGCTTTTGTTTTATGGTTTTGGTTTTGTTTGTTTGTTTGTTTGTTTGTTTTTTTTCGAGACAGGGTTTCTCTGTGTAGCTTTGCACCTTTCCTGGAACTCACTTGGTAGTCCAGGCTGGCCTCGAACTCACAGAGATCCGCCTAGCTCTGCCTCCCGAGTGCTGGGATTAAAGGCGTGCGCCACCACCGCCCGGCAAAAAGTATCTTATCAAACCTCTTTGTTAAAAAGTCACCCAGATCGCCTAACCCAGTCATCATAGCAGAAGCTTCCTCCAGCAGCTGAGAACAGATGCAGAGACCCACAATCAAAGAGTAGGCTGAGCTGGGAGCTCAGGGAATCCTGAGGAAGAGGGGGAGGGAGGATTGTAGGAGCCAGAGGGGTGGAGAACACCAAGAGAACACATCCCACAGAATCAACTAACCAGGGTTCATAGGGGCTCACAGAGACGGAAACGACAATCACGGAGCCTGCACGGGTCTGTGCTAGGGTCTCTGCATATAGGTTACGGTTGTGGAGTTTGGTGTTCTTCCTCTAAGATGCCCAACAATGGGAGTGGGGATGTCTCTGACCCTTTTGCCTGCTCTTGGGACCCTTTCCTCCTCCTGGGTTGCCGCGTCCAGCCTTGATGTGAGGGTTTATGCCTAACCTTACTGCATCTTGTTATGCTATGCCAGCTCATATCACTGGGAGGCCTGCCCTTTTCTGAAGGGAAGTGGAGGGGCAGTGGGTCCAGGGAGAAGGGAAAGTGGCTGAGGGATGGGGGGACTGCAGGGGTGGAGTGGGAGGAGTCACACAACGCATTGACATTAGTCAATGCAACTAGCCCAATATTTCTAGGAATCAATCTTCTTTTAATATTTACTTCATTTTTAAACACCTCTGTCTGTCTGTCTGTCTGTCTCTCTCTCTCTCACTCTCTCTCTCTCTCTCTCTGTGTGTGTGTGTGTGTGTGTGTGTGTGTGTGTGTGTGTGTGTGTGTGTATGTGTGCCATGCCTGAGGAAGCCAGGCAGAGATGTCCGGTCCCCTGGAGCTGGAGTTACAGGCAGTTGTAAACCTCCTGACAGGTTACTGGGACCTGAACTTGGGTCCTCTACAAGAGCACTGCATGCTGTTAACCACTGAAATGTGCGTCCAGCCCCAGGAATCAGTGGGTTTTCTTGTTTGTTTTGTTTTGAAGACTCCTGTGTCGGAAATTGCAAGGCAGTTTATAAATGAGGACACACAGCTTTACATGAACAAAGTGGAAGTCACAGTGTTAACTGAGAATTGATGCTTTAAAAATGCACGCCTGTAATTCCAGCACTCAGGAGGCAGAGGCAGGTGAATCTCTGTGAGTTCCAGGCCAGCCTGGGCTACAGAATGAGTTCCAGGCCAGCCAGGTCTACAGAATGAGTTCCAGGCCAGCCTGGTCTACAGAATGAGTTCCAGGCCAGCCAGGTCTCTATAATAAGCCCCTGTCTCAAATAACAAGCCGCCTTCCTTGCTTGATACCAAGGGGTCCTCCAATTCTACTTTCTCGTGACTAAATTAAAATCTTCAGCCTTCTGTAAAGCAGGCCGGGGCCCAGGCATGGCATCTCTAGCACATTATCTCCTTAGTCCCCTGCGGTTTGGGCGTCAGTTAAGTCAGACTACGGTTTATTTCAGATACAAGCACAATTTATTTCTAGGCTGCATTTCATGTCGTAAGCTTAACAGTTCGGACCCCTCCCTCCTCGCCCCTCGGTCTGACAGGCTGCTGCACCACTCTGGAGCATCCGGGCTTAAACTCCCCAATTACCGGGCACTGCAAGTCATGAACCCCGTGAGGCTATGATCAAAATTATGGGCTTGCTCCCCCTCAAGGCGCGCACACACACACAGAAGCACACACGCGGCACACGATGTTGAGGGGTTCGCAAACTCCCTGAAGCACACCCTTGCATTCTGGTCGGAGGCTCTACACCATGGCCTGCAGAGGGCAGCAGGGCAGCTGCAGGGCACACTGGGAGCTGCATTCCGGGAAGCTGGGCACGCTGTAGAACTTGATCAGCTTTTTGAAGGCGCTTTTCTTTATCATCATCATTTCTTCCGGGAACCTGGAAAAGATCCTTGCCCGGAAGGAGCCCCCGTTCTTCACTGAGCCATCTGTGGGGAGTGACTTCTGAGCGCTCACGGGCACGCTGTTGCAGCTGAGGGAACGCACCGTCTTCTTCTTGCTCTGGACGGACAAGTAACTGAACAGAAAGGACGACAGCTTGTGCTTGGTGGCATCTGGGGCTTCTTCTTCTGAGAAGCACTCATCGGGTGGATCCAGCAGGGTCTCAAGATCACAGCCACCCTCCTTTCTCATCACACCAGCCCCCAGCTGCTGGGGCTGCTTGATGATCTTCCGGGCCTGAGCTGGGTCGTCTCCTCCCTCGTTGACAGACTCCAGGGATAGCCCACTGGTCAGGTCCCTGGAGCCTCGGGTCGGGATGAGGTTCTTGGCCCGAGGGCTCGGCTGGGAAGTGCAGTGCTGGTTCAGGACGAGGGTAGCAGCCTCTCGGATGAGGTTCCAGTCTCTCAGGATGTCCTCCTTGGTGGTAAACTGGGATGTCACGGTGAAACGGATGATCAGCTTGTCCTGGATAGTGGCTGGAATGAGGAAGAGCTGGCCACCTTTGGCTATTTCCTTTAACACACTTTCTGTGAGACAATTGGGACCCTATACGAAGAACAAAGAGAGCTGGAGTCTACAACACGCCGCTGGTAGGTGCTTCCTGAAGCCCAGCATTTGCAGGTCTCCATTCCCACTCAACCCTGAAACGGAAGCACCCTTCTCAGGGAGCCATGGGAGAGCGCATTACCTTCAGACGGAAAACCACCAACCCAAGGTGCCTCTTGGCAGGAATTTCAAAGAAAGGGTCATTTCTGACCAGAGATTCAAAGTATTTAGCCATTTCTGTTCCCTGGAATTGTAAAAACACACACAAACAAAAGCAAAACAAAACTGCGGTTAATAGGCAACAACCCAACTGCATCTGCTTTGATACTGTTCGGCAACTTAGACCAGGGACACAGATGAGTCCTGAGACCTGTGTGGCCTCTGCCCGCCTGTCCTCCCCGTTGGATCTCGCTCGTATTCAAGCTGGAAAACCCTCCTGTTTCATTTTCTGTCACGTCACACTCACCCAGAGACCTTGCGTCTCAAAGTCCTCTTTCAACTTAGTCCCAGAACTCAAGAGTCGTGGGCTTTCTAACTCAGCAATCAGCCTCCTCTTCCAGCTTCTCAGCTTTTTCACTGGCCGTGGGAGCCAGAAAGGGTCCAACTCCATGCCCAAAGGAAAGCACAGCAGGCTGTGTAGGCTGAGCCTACCCCTGCCTCAAATGGCTCAACTGGGCCAGGCATGGTGGTGAATGCCTTTAATCCCAGCACTCAGGAGGCAGAGGCAGGCGGATCTCTGTGAGTTCGAGGCCAGCCTGGTCTACAAAGTGAGTTCCAGGACAGCCAGGACTGTTACACAGAGAAACCCTGTCTCGAAACCCCCTCACTCCCCAAAAAAAGTATCAACTGACTTCCCTCACCTCCCCATGCTCTTCACACGCCATAGCTCAAAGACCCTTGTTACTGACACGTCACAGGGAGTTTATATTTTATATAGCATACCACCTATACCATGGGGAAAAAAGCTTGTACCTAGTTAACAGGTGCAGAGGTTCTTCTTCGGGTGGTGAAATGTTCTAGAAATAACAATACTCACTTGATATTGAGTATAGGTAATATCACATTACATTGTACTCTAAAACACAGTTGTTTTATATGTTGTCCATATTTATCATCACAAAATTAAAGATTTAACATATTGACATTTACAATGTTTACATGATCTTTTAAATTTTCCTATGGTTTTCTTGATTTTACTTTTACATGGAGTTTTTGAATAAAGAAGGACCGGGCTGTGGCTCAGCTGGCAATCTGCTAGCCCATTGTGTAAAAAATTCTGTGTTCAATCAACAACTGGATAAAGCCAGGTGTGGGGGAGTTTGTGGCTGGAGGATCTGAAGTTCAAGGTTGCCAGGAATACTGTTACAAGTCTTTAATCTCAACACTCAGGAGGCAGAGGTGGGCCGATCTCTCTGTGTGTGCTCAAGGCCAGTCTGGGCTACGTAGTGAGACCTGTCTCAGGGGAAGTGTGGGAAAGGCGGCCAGAGATCCCAGTCTAAGACCAGCCCGGGGTTACTTTCCTTTCACAGGGTCTCTACTAAGTGATTTTTACGGGCTTCACCTGATGTTGTTTCAGAAGACAAGCGTGTCCGCTGTCCTCGTTGACCGAGGAGACAGTGCCATTTAAACCAACCTCTATCTGTTCCACTTTCTCTCTCTGCCGTCTATCTCAAGCTCTCACCACCGCCCCATGAACTTTTTTTTCTTTTTCTTTTTCTTGAGAAAGGTTCTCACGTAGCCCAGACTGGCTCAAACTCACTATGTAGCTGAGGATGGCCCTGTGTGTTCACATGTTGTCATTGTGTCACAACGACGGGGCTCCGTAGCTACAGCAGAGACAGTAAGGACCACAGTACAAAAAATACAAAATAAAAAAGACCATCTGGCTGTTTACAAAGGTTTTCCAATCACCTGCAGGTGATGGGAAATAGATAATAATAACTCGTTGTCATTAGAAGAAAAAATACCCAGTCCCAGTGAGATCCAGTGGGCAAGTGCTGAAGAGGATTGCAAGTTTGAGGCCAGCCTGGGCTACGCCTTTAAAAAGAAAATGAAGGGCCGGGCGTGGTGGCGCACGCCTTTAATCCCAGCACTCGGGAGGCAGAGCCAGGCGGATCTCTGTGAGTTCGAGGCCAGCCTGGGCTACCAAGT